ACAACAACAAGTGACCCCACTGGGTTTCTAAGGTGGTAAAAAAAAATTTTTTTAATTTTTACTGTGATTTGATGGCAAATTCATTTTCCATGTACCAGTATGAACATACATATTTTGTTTCATGACATTGACTGCAATTCCCCACAATTTAACAGCTCTCTTCCCACTTCCTCCCTGTAGTGACCACCTCTTCCTTATGTCCTTCCCTCCCATGCACTCCTGCTCCCTAGCTACCTCCCTGCGCAAACACTGCCCTTCTGTTCTCCCATGACTGATCATTCCAAAGAGTGTATCTACCTGATGTAAATGTTCACCCCACATGCCTGTCTACTGTTTGGCTGGAAGCCTAGGAATGAGTTCAATTCCAGAACTGAAGGGTAACTAGGGGCCATAGTCTCAGGGGTCTCACTAGCCTCTATCAGACCACCAAACTTGTGGGGGTTTTTTAATGATTTTGAGTTTTGTTTCACATTGTTTTCCCACTCTAGCCAGATCTCTTGCACTGATCCCCCTCCAAGTTGTTGACAGTGGTAGCTGGGCACCATCTAGTTCTTCTGGTCTCATGGTCATATAGACTGAAGATCATAAGGTCTATCTGTCGCTTGGACTAATTATTTCCATGCGTCTTTGGTTTTCTTCATTCTTCTTTGCTCTGGATGAGGAGAGACCCATCGTTGCATCTAGATGGCTGCTTGCAAGCTTTTAAGAACCCAGTTGCTACTCACTAAAGTAGGGTATAGAACAACGTTTTTGTGTAGTATATTATGCCAACTGAGCTTGATGTCCCCTGCGACCATGGTCCCAAGGCCACAGGTCTAACCACTTGCTCCCTCAGGGTAGTTGGCTGTGGCCCAGAAGCCACTACAAACTTATCCCTTGTCAGCTCTACTTACTCTCAGACATTCTTATAGCACAAGTGTATTTGTAATACACTTGTAGAAACATCATCTGCCAACCCTATACATGGTCATGGGCACATTCCCCCCCACCTAGATATCTTTGCTCATTCAGCCTGTCCACCCATCTATCCACCTGTCAATCAATGCTTGCCATCACTGACAATACACTACTGTCCATGCAAAAGGTTTATCTTTGTTGTCTGTACCTCTCATGTACCTCTCCATGTCTTCTTCTTCGTCAGCGCACCATGTTGATCACTTACTTTTGGTACATTGCCCTTCCTTTTACCCAAATCAATACTTGCCTCTATCTATCTAGCAGTGTTCCTCTCCTTCCTCTCCCATCCCTGATGACCAACAAATAAAGTTTCCTTGACTTTTTACAACAATAAACTAATATAATATTTGTCCTTCTGTGATTGACTTATTTCATTCAGCATAATGTCCTCCAAGTTCATCCAAGTTATGCAATGTTTCACTGATTTTACACTATTCTTTAGTGTTATATAGTATTCCTTTGTGTGTATGTACCATAGTTTGGGATGATGGGCACTTAGGTTGTTTCCATTTCTTTGCTGTTGTAAACAGTGCTGCGATGAACATGGGTGTGCATGCATTTGTTTTTGTCCTGGCTCTCACTTCTTTAAGATACATACCTAATAATGGGATTCCTGGATCAAATGGTATTCCTAATTTCCAACTTTTTAAGGAATCGTCATATTGCTTTCCACAGTGGTCGTATCATTTTACAGTTCGACCAGCAGGGTATGAGAGTCCAAATCTCTCCACATCCTCGCCAGTGTTTGTTATTTTCTGTCTTGCTGAACTTTGCTATTAGTGCTGGGGCAAGATGGCATCTTCTTGTTTTGATTTGCATCTCTCTAACAGCTAATGATGGTGAGCATTTCTTCATATGTTTGTTGGTCACCCAGATATCTTCTTTTGTAATGTGTCTATTCATGTCTTCTGACCATTTCTTAATTGGATTGTTTGCCTTTTTGTTGTTGAGATGCTGGAGTTTTCTATAAATTTTAGAGATAAGTACCTTATAAGGTATGTTATTGTCCAATATTTTTTCCCAAGCTGTAGGTTCTCTTTTTACTCTTTTGGAGAAGGCTTTTGAAGCACATAAAAATGTAATTTTCAAAAGGTCCCATTCATCTAGTTTATGTTCTGGTGTGTATGCATTTTGGGTTACACTTCATAGTCTATTTATTTCATAAATTAGGGCCTCTATGTTTGCCCCTATGTTTTCCTTGAGGAACTTTATAGTTTTAGGCTTCACACTTAAGTCTTTGATCCATCTAAAGCTAGTTTTTATGTATGGTGTAAGGTGTGAATCTTGTTTCATTTTTCTGCAAATGAATAATCAGTCTTGCCAGCATCATATGTTGAAGAGATTATCTCTTCCCCATTTAATAGATTTCAGTCCTATGTCAAAAATCAGCTGACCACAGGTCGATGGATCTGTTTCTGGGTTCTCAATTCTATTCCACTGGGCTATGGGTCGGTCATTGTACCAATATCAGGCTGTTTTGACTACTGTGGCTGTATAGTAGGTTTGAGACAGGAAGTGTGAGATCTCCTCTTTGTTGTTGTTCTTCAATTAGGAAAGGGGAAAGAAAAAAAAAAAAAACTCACTGCCATCGAGTTGATTTGACCTGTAGCAACCCCTCCTTGGGTTTCCAAGGTGGTATCCCTACAGAAGTAGATTGCCTAGTCTTCCCTCTTAGGAATGGCTGGTGGGTTTGAACCACCAGCCTCTGGTTAGCAGTCAAATGCCTTAGGCACTATGCCACCAGAGTTCCCTGTTCTTCAATGGTGCTTGCTTATCCAAGGTCTCTTTCCTCTCCATATAGTTAGTGATTGGTTTTACGATATCCTCAAAGAGTGTTAATGGGATCTGGATTGGGATTGCATTGAATGTATAGGTTGCTTTGGGTAGCACTGACATTTTTACAATGTTCAATCTTCCTATCCATGAGCATGGTATGTTCTTCCATTTATGTAGATCTCTTGTGGTTTCTGGAAGTAGTGTTTTGTAGTTTTCTTTCTATAGGTCTTTTGCATCCCGAGTGAGACTTATTACCAAGAATTTAACTTTTTTTGGTAGCTATTATAAATGGAAGAGCTCTGGTGGCACAGTGCCTAAGGCATTTGACTGCTAACCAGAAGGCTGGTGGTTCAAACCCACCAGCCACTCCTCAGAAGGAAAGTTGGGCAATCTCCCTCCATAGTGATACCACCTCAGAAACCCAAGGAGGGGTCACTATGAGTCAGATCCAACTCCATGGCAGTGAGTTTATTACAAATGGTATTGATTTCCTTATTTCCCTTTCAGCAATCTCTTTGCTGGTATAGAGGAATCCAACTGATTTCTGGATGTTGATCTTGTATCCTGCCTCTATGCTCAATTTCTCAATTAGTTCCAGTAGTTTTCTTGCTGAGTCTCTTGCGTTTGCTATGTATAGGATCATATCGTCCGCAAATAGGGATAGTTTTACTTCTTCCTTACCCAATGGATGCCTTTGATTTTCCTCTCTTGCATTCTTGCCCTAGCTAGGACTTTCAAGACAGTGTTGAATAGAAGTGGTGGTGACAGAGGGCATGCTTATCTGGTTCCCGTTCACAAGGGGAATGCTTTCCGTTTCTCTCCATTGAGAATAATGTGAGCCGTTGGTTTTGTATATATGCCCTTTATTATTCTGAGGGACTTCTCTTCTAGTCCTATTTTTCTGAGAGTTTTTTTTTTTACCAGGAAAGGGAGCTGCATTTTATCAAATGCCTTTTCTGCATCAATTGATATGATCATGAGGTTCTTTTTCTTTATTTTATGTGATAGATTACTTTGATTGCTTTTCTAATGTTGAGCCATCCTTGCATACCTGGTATGAACTCCACTTGGTCATAATGTATTATTTTTTTATTTTTTTATATATTGTTGGGAGTCTACTGGCTAGGATTTTGTTGAAGATTTTTATATCTACATTCATGATGGATATTGGTCTGTAACTCCTTTTGAGTGACATCTTTGCCTGGTTTTGTTATCCAGGTTATGCTTGCTTCATAACATGAATTTGGGAGGATTCCATTCTTTTCTATGTCCTGGAATAATGTAAGTAGGATTGGTCAGTTCTTTTTTGAACATTTGGTAGAAATCTCCAGTGAAACCATCTGGGCCAGGACTGTTTCTGTTGGTAATTTTTTCATGGCCTGTTCGATTTCTTGTTTTATCATTACCTGTGGAGTGGCTGGTGAGTCTGAACCTCCAACTTTCTTGTTAGAAGTCAAATGCCTTAGGCTTTGTACACCAGAGCTCCTTTATGAAATGTCCAGAACAGGTTAATCCATAGAGACAGGAAGTAGATGAGTGGGTGCCAGGGGATGGGAGCAGGGGGAGCTAGAGAGTGACCACTAATAGGTACAGGATTTCTTTTTGAAAATGTTCTGGAATTAGATAGTGGTGATGGTTGAACAACATTGGGAATACTAAAAAATCAATAAACTGCACACCTTAAAATGGTGAATTCTGTTATGTGAATTTTAACTCAATTTTTAAAATTACCAAAAAGTATGTAACTAACATCTGAATAGAATCCCTGGGTGGTGCAAACAGTTAACATGCTTGGCTGCCATCTGAAGGTTGGTGTTCTGATTCCACCCACAGGTGCCTCAGAAGAATGGCCTGGAGACCTACTTCTGGAAAATCAGCCACTGAACATCTGATGGAGCCGTTCCACCTGCCACACGAGATCCCCGAGTGGGAAAATCTATGGAGCCATTCCACCCTGACACACGAGGTCCCCATCAGTTGGAATTGACTCCATGGTAACTGGTTTTTGTCTGGTAATAACTAACCATTAAAATATAAATGTTCATCTGTATATGAGTTCCACAAAGTACCCTCCTGGGCTAGCAGTGTATGGGTATCTAGCCTGGCAAAATGTGGGGCCAATGTGGATCTTTCTTCCTGACCAGAGCTACTAAGTCCCTGAGGGAAGAGTTTCAGGCTTGCATCTTGCCATGATTCCCAGTGGAATGGGGATCATGCCCCTCCCCATCCAGTCCCGTCCCACCCAGGGGCAGTTGGTCAGGCCCTACCTGATCTCTGCAGGTCCTTCTGCAGCCCGAAGCCACCTGTGAACAGCATCTCAGCCTCCCTGGCCAGCAGCATGTACCGGGGCTCATCTTGCATCCCATGGTATTCACCGCCCTCATCACACTCCGTCATCTCTAAGGCTTTGTTGTACCAGTGCAGGGCCTCCAACCAGTCTCGGGACCTTGCCAAGAAATAGACAGAAAGAGGCAGCCATATGGTGATGGGGCAGTGGGGAGGAGGGCCATGCAGCAGGAGGGGCAAACCAGGGATCCCAGTGGGCCACACCTGTGGTTCACATCTAGAGTACCCATGCCACACCATCAGTGTCGGCCTTTGTATTTACCAAGATGACAAGCTTTCCCTCACAAAATCAGTATATTACAAGAACTTTTCAACAGAAGCAAATAGAGGATCTTGAAGGCGGGGCATTTTTCTAGTTTGCACAAAATCACCCTGACTCATGTAGGAGAAGAGGTGAGGGGAACCCTTTGCTGAGGCCCCCAGAACCATGTGACTAACAGCAATCACTCAGCCCTATCTGGCACTCTCCCAGTGCGAGCTATTCTAGCTCTCCTCTATCCCTTTTTCTTGATATACTAATTACATATTAAGGAGCTCTGGTGGCATAGTGCCTAAGGCACTTGACTGCTGACCAGAAGGCTGGTGGTTCAAACCCACCAGCCGCTCCTCGGAAGGAAGGTTGGGCAATCTATTTCCATAGTGATACTGCCTCAGAAACCCAAGGAGGGGTCGCTATGAGTCAGGTCTGACTCGATGGCACATAACAGCAACAACAATTACATATTACATACAATTACATATTAAAGAGCTCTGGTGGCATAGTGCCTAAGGCATTTGACTGCTAACCAGAAAGCTGGTGGTTCAAACCCATCAGCCACTCCTCAGAAGGAAGGTTGGGCCATCTACTTCCGTAGGGATACTGCCATGGAAACCCAAGGAGGGGTTGCTATGAGTCAGATCTGACTCAATGACAGTGAGTTTTGTTTTTTTTTAAAGCATGTTAGTAACTATTTATAGCATACCAGGAAAAAGCAAAGAGAGAGAGGTACAGATAAGACTCTTTGGGTCCAATAAAATGTTCCAGGAACGAGAGCTGTGACAACTTCCTGTCCTTGCCTTTGCCATGGCCTCTGAAGCCCCACCTGCCCTCCAGTCTCAACAACTGTCAATTTCCTTCTGGGCCGGGCTCACTGGGGGGCTCGTTCTCCCTCAAACATGCCAAGCTCTTGTCAGCACCCTGGCCTTTGTACCTGCTATTCCCTGTGATGGGAACACTCTTTCCCCAACTTTTTCCACAGCTGGCTGTTTATCCCTTAGCTTGTATGTCATCTCTTCACACTCTGTCCCCAAATACTCTACTTCCTTACACCAACAACCTCAATCTGTAATGCGCCTGTTTACTTGTTCACGTGTTTGTTAGTGGTCTCTTCTGACTAGAATGTGAGGCTCCAACAAGGGCCTTGTCTTTGTTCCTTGCTGCAGTCCCAGAGCCTGGTAAACAGCCTAGGCTCCATGTTTGTTGAATGACTAATTATAAGCAAATAGCTGCTTGTAATGGTGTTCAGGAGATAACCTTCACTCTGTCTTATTTTATAAAGACAGGAAAATCTTTTGAAAATTACTGGTGACACAACCAACAAATAAGGTTTTGACACAGGACCAGAAGTCACTGGACTAGAAGAGCTCACCTCTTTCAGCTCTCATCCTCCCCAGTCTTGAAGAGCAAACAAAATTTCCCCAAAAGAAAAGGACCTGATCCGTCCCTGCTCACCCTCATTTGACACTCAGTGGTTAGGGTGCCCACGCTACCTTGGAATTTCCTTCTCAGTAAGATGACTACTTCTGAGAGGGCTCTCCACTCACCAAACTCTGCCATCGAGTTGATTCCAACTCATAGCGACCCCACTGGGTTCCCAACACTGTAAATCTTTGCAAAAGCAGACTGCCTCATCTTTCTTCTATGGAGAGGCTGGTGGGTTTGAACCACCGACCTTTTGGTTAGCAGCCAAATGCCTTAACAAATACACCACCAGAGCTTTTTTCTGAGAGGACTGTTGTTGTTGTTAGGTGCTATCAAGTCAGCTCTTACTCATAATGATCCTATGTACAACTGAACAAAACACTGCCCCATCCTGCACCAGCCACACAATCCTTGCTATACCTGAGCCCATTGTTCAGATGAGTGGTGTGTCCCCTAAATACAAACTTGGGCCTACATGGAGCCTTTCCTTATCCATAAACCAAAATTCATTGCCATTGAGTTGATTCTGACTCATAGTGACAGAGCAGAACTACCCTATTGGGTTTCCAAGGCTATAATCTTTATGAGTAGGAGCTCTAGTGGTGCAGTGGTTAAGGCTGCTAACCTTTCAGGTCAGTGGCTTGAACCCACCAGCTGCTCCATGGAAGAAAGATGAGGTAGTCAGCTTCTGTAAAGATTTACAGCCTTGGAAACCCTATGGGGCAGCTCTACTTTGTCCTAGAGGGTCTCTATGAGTCAGAATTGACTCGATGGTAGTGGGTTTGGATTTGGGAATCTTTACAAAAGCAGACTGTCATATCTTTCCCCTGCAGAGCAGATGGTGGGTTTGAATCTCCAACCTTTCAGTTAGCAGCCAAGTGCTTAACCACCAGGGCTCCTCATCTCACCTATAGCTGACCCTTAATTAATACTCCCTGAAATGAAGAAGCTGGAGCAGCTTGGAACAAAGAAGAACAATAAGAAAATGACAATAGCAGAAGTTATAAAGAAAATTTTGACAAATTCCAACTACATAAAAATAAAATCCAGTGTGTCCTAAAACTCAATAAACAATGCTGCTACCCTGTCCTCACATTCTTCTCTGGGGGAGGAAAAAGTTAAAGAAGGGAAACATATGCTAAAGGATCAATAGCCTTAATATATAAAGAGTTCTTACAAATCAATGAAAAAACTTACTACCTCAAATAAAAAGAAAAAAGCAGACAAAAGACATGAAGAGAAAATATAAATAGCCAAATTTTTTTAAGGGCCTCAGATGGAAATATTCAATGCCCAGTTCCAGTTCCCTTTACCCATGCTGTGCCTCACCACTGCACCCAATGGGCACCATACACACTAGCATTTGCTCTGAGACAGTTATATCATGTCTTTTTTGAAGGTGCTCTGGTGAAACTATGTTTGAAAGCATTGGTTGCTAACCAAAAGGTCAGCAGTTCGAACACTGCTCTGTGGAAGAAAGATGAGGACGTCTGCTACCACAAAGATTTACATCCTTAGAAATCCTAAAAGGGTAGAAAGTTCCACTCTGTCCTAAAGGGTGGCTACGAGTTGTATTTGACTTGATGGCAGTAGGTGGGTGTGTGCTGGGTTTCTGTTTACCTCCTCTCTGTTCCAGTATAACTGAGCCCACTAAGAAGAAAGTCAGTTGATAATACAAAGGACAAGGAGTGAAAAGACCTAAGTTTTGTCTCTACCACCTCCTATCTATTTGACTACATGCCAAGTCCTTTCACTGCTCAGATTACAGTCTACTCATCCATACCCAAAACCCATTGCTGTCAACTTGAGTCTAATTCATAGGGACCCCACCAGACAGGGTAGAACTGCCTCACAGGGTTTCCAAGACTGTAATACTTACAGGAGCAGACTACCACGTCTTTCTCCCACAAAGCAGCTGGTGGTTCAAACTGCTCATCTTTCAGTTAGTAGCCAAGCACTTAACCACTGTGCCACCAGGGCTCCTTCCAGTCATCCATAAAACAGGCCCAAAACATCTGCCTTGTCTGTGTCAAAGAGATTTCATTCACCCAAAGAAGTATTGAGCCAGGCTCTGTGCTAGGCACTGGGACTACAGAGCTGTATGAGGTCCAGTTCCTGCTCTTATCAAGTACAATCACAGATGTGAGAGGCGCCTTTACAGACAACACAGCTGATAAATTTTTAGACTGTCTTATATGTAATATAGGCAGGATGTCATATGTCCGGGGGTTTTAGTCCTGAGAGCTTGACATGATTGACAGGGTCATACTGCTGACTTTGAAAGGGAGAAGAAATGTTAGCACCAAAGAAGAGGCAACTGCCAAGGCAACTGCCAAGGTTTCCAGAATAAACGTGCCCACCCAACAATTCGGAAAGCAGCAAGAGTTCCTAAGGATGGCAAGGCATGGGTGAGTTCCAACAGGAGCCACAGAGGGTGAGCAGTGGGTTCCACTATAAGCTCACATCGCTTAATCCACCTCTGCTTCCGGACTTCCGGGACCTCCCATGACAAGCTGGGGGAGCCAAGATGAAGCTGGATCACCCTTCCCTCCTGTCCCACTGAAGAAACCAGTCCTGACATGTCAGCATGAAGAATAAATGTGGAAGTAATAACACCTGCAGAGCTGTGACATCCACGAATCTCAAAGTCCTTCTGGAAAACTCACACCAGCTTGATCTCACTCTTGAAGAATCCTTACCTTCCCTCCATCTCAAAAGTGAAGATAATACAAATACAAATAAAAGCTGTTGTTGTGAGCTAAAGGAGCTCTGGTGGCACAGTGGGTAAGGCATTTGATTGCTAACCAGAAGGTTGGTAGTTCAAACCCACCAGCTGCTCCACAGGAGGAACATGAGGCAATCTACTTCCATAAAGATTTATAGCCTTGGGAATCCAACAGGGGTTGCTAGGAGTTGGAATCAACTCAGCAGCAGTGTGTTTTTGTTGTTAGTTGCCATCAAGTTGGCCCCCGACTCATGAAGACACCATGCGTCAAAGAATAAAACGTTGCCCATCCCGCACCATCCCCATGTGCAATCTTGGACAAAGCCGCTGTGGTGATCCATAGAATTTGGTGGATAGTGCCTAAGGCACTTGACTGCTAACCAGAAGGCTGGTGCTTCAAACCCACCAGCTGCTCCTCGGAAGGAAGGTTGGGCAATCTACTTCCGTAGAGACACTGCCTTGGAAACGCAAGGAGGAGTCGCTGTGAGTCAGATTCGACTCGAGGGCAGTGATTTATTTATTTTTTTAATTAATTAGCTCACATATATGCCTCTGAGAAGTCTCACTTTACAGAGAAGAAACAAAGTTCCCCATGACAGTGCTGGGGCTAGAGGCAGTTGGTCACTTTCAACTCATGATGACCCCATGTGTTGCAGAGGAGGGTTCTCAATGGCTGTGACCTTCCGGAAGCAGACTGCCAGACCTTCTTCTGAGGTGTCTCCGGGTGAGTGTGAACTATGAACCTTCGAGTTAGTATCTGAGCCTTTAATCATCAGTATGGCCCAGGGACTCCCATCATAGGTCCCCCCCCCCCTTAATTTTTATCGTGATTTGGGTGTAAGTTTACAGAGCAAATTCATTTTCCATACAGCAGTTCATACACATCTTGTTTCATGACATTGAGTGCAATCCCCACAATGTAACAGCTGTCATCCCACTTCCTCCCTGTGTTCCACTTACCTCTTCCCTGTGTCCTTCTTTCCTGTGTATTCCTGCCCCATCCGTCTGAGCTACCTCCCTGAGTGACTACTACCCTTCTAGTCTCCCCTGATCCATCGCTCTAAGGAGTGTATCTGCCGAATGTAAATGTTCACCCCATATGCCTGTCTGTTGTTTGGCTGGAAGCCACAGGAGTGAGTTCAGTTCCAGACCTGAAGGGCAGGGAGAGGTCATAGTCTCAGGAGTTTCACCAGTCTCTACCAGAATAATAAACCTGGTCTTTTTCTTTTTCTTATGATTTTGAGTTTTGTTCCTCGCTGTTCTCCCACTCTATCCAGGATCTCCTGCACTGATCCCTTTCTGAGTGGTTGACAGTGGTAGCCAGGCACCATCTAGTTCTTCCGGTCTCATGGCCATGTAGGTTGAAGACTGCACCCATCATAGGGTTTTCACTGCCTGACTTTTGGAAGCAGATGCCAGGCCTCTCTTCCTAGTTCTTCTTAGAATCGGAAGCTCTGCTGAAACCTGGGCAGCGTCAGAGCCCACCAGCTTCACTGACAGGTGGCGTCTGTGTATGAAGTGCGTTGATCAGGAATCAAACCCAGCTCTCTCACTTGGAAGGTGAGAACTTAAATCACCCACAATCTTAGTATCTAGGGACCATCACTCGGAACCTGCTGTTCCATATCCTTTCAGGTATTTCCTCAGGCAAATATTTACATGTAATGTCCAAAACGACTGCCATGTATCGGAGCTTTACGAACCTGGCACTGTGAGAACTGCAAGCCTCGTTTCATCTAACCCCGACACAACAACCCTAGGATGTGCGTTCTATAATTATTCCCATTTTACCAATGCGGGCAGGAAGGTAAAATAACATGCTCACAGTTGTTGGACTGGTGAGGCAGGAGCCAAGACTGGAGCCCAGGTTTATACAGACAGTGAAGGGGAGGCTCCCACCTGCAGCCCAGGCTCTCATCAGCTACACCTGGGACAGTGCCACAGTACCTGTCTGGGCTGAGGTTCTGGCCACTGTCAAAAGCTCGTGCCACCAGGATCATAGACTGTCTGTCACCAGCTTCAGCTGCCTTTAGTAAGTAATCAAATCCTTTCGTTTTATTCTCTTGCGACTCCTGTCAACACAAACCAAAAATGGGAGGGGGAAGCAGATGAGACTTGAACTAGAAGGGACCTCACTAATCAGTCTTCACGTAAATGAACCAGTTGGAGAAAGAATGGAAGGATGGGAACAAGCTGGGAGGGGAATTTTACTGTCAACCTTTTCATATTAAAAGAACTTTTTAAAAACATCATGTGAATGTATTACCTATTCAAGAAGTTAAATGAATAAAAAGCTATGGAGTGTCTTCCCACTCTCTTCAACTGGGCCCCTCCCCCACTGGGCCATGGCTAGGTCCACTGAGGCAGGCTAGTGCCCTGTGCCCATGGTAAGCCCAGCCTGGCCTAGCCCCAGTCCATCCACAACCCTGGGCCACATGCCAGGGAGGATGGGGACAGATTCACTGGGCCACACACACACTCAAAGGGCCTCTATGTTTTCCCTAGGAGAGGTTCACATCCCTAGACCTTGCCAACTCCTATTCACCACCAAGCTGACTTCAATCCTCTCCTCCTTGTGCACTAAGACCGGGGCAGGAAGTAGGAAGAGACTCCACATGGATTTCCCAGTGCAGCTAAATCCTTCTGCTTCAGACCCGGCCCTGGCCCGTGTCCTGCAACTGTCCTGTCCTGCCCCATGGTCTAGCTTTACTGATCCGCCATCTTGTTTCTCACCTCTGAACCTAGGTATGTGCTGCGACCTTTGCCTGAACTGCTCACCTCCCATCCTTGGCCTGGCTGATTCCCATTCAGCCTTTAGGTCTAATTTAGATATCCATCCATCTACCCCACCCACCCACACACTCATGCATTCAAAAAATGCATATTGAATATCCATGTGCTAGGCTGTTCTAGGCAATGAAGACACAGCCAGAGTTGACAATCAATAGGAAGCCTGTGCTACCCCCTCAAAGCCCCAGGGAGGAGCCCTTCCCTCATTTGTTTCCAGCAATATTCTCTGCTTCTCCTACCACACAGTGCCTGGTGATGTGATTGTCACCTTCTTCTCACCCTAGGGCAGAAAATCAATTCCATCCATTTCAACTAACACTGGGACATTACCAGGCCCCAAACCACATGGGATGGAGAGGCAGATGAATGGTGAGTTGACCAAGCCCCCCTCTGGCTGGGTCCCTGCCACCCTCTCACCTTCAGAGAGACATCGGCCAGGATGTGGTGAGGCAGCTGTGAGTACATGAGCCCTAGGCCCACAATGGCTTCCAGCTCGCCCAGGTCGGCTGCGTGCTCCAGGTGGAAGAATGCTGACTCCCGGTCCCACTCCTCATCCTTCTGGCAGAAGCGTCCACCCTCGTGGTATCGCACCATGGCCAGATGGACCTGACACACAGACGACAGTGTTGGCCTGCTGTCTGGGAGGCCAAAGCCATGCCTCACGGCCACCCAGCAGCCTGTGGGAGAAAGCCATTAGCAGAGTGGTATGTGAACTTCGGGGGTTCCAGGTTAGTGCAGAAAGGGTTCTGAAATGGGCATCAATACCTTCCCCAAAATGGACTTCCCAATTTTCTTCTCAAGGTCCAGAGCATTAAGCCTTTGCACTTCCAGGGCCACGCCAGAAGGCCTCGGCAGGTGGAGGCGGGAGGAGTTGAGGAGGTTCCACTTCTCCACGCAAACCTGAAGGGAGAGAACAGGGCACGGCAGCGTTTACAGGCCAGAGAAGCCGAGAGGCTGGGCGATGGACACTCGCTGCCAACACGGGCAATCAGCAGCCCCTGCTACATGAGGCAGCTGGTGGGGGGAGAGGGCAGAGAAGACTGTTGTTGTTGTTGTTGTTATGTGCCGTCGAGTCAGACCTGACTCATAGCGACCCCTCCTTGGGTTTCCGAGGCAGTATCACTATGGAAGTAGGATTGCCCAACCTTCCTTCCGAGGAGTGTCTAGTGGGTTTGAACTGCCAGCCATCTGGTTAGCAGTCAAGTGCCTTAGCCACTATGCTACCAGAGCTCCCATAAAGATTGTTGTTGTTATGTGCCGTCGAGTCAAACCCGACTCATAGTAAGCCCTCCTTGGGCTTCTAAGGCAGTATCACTACGGAAGTAGGAATGCCCAACCTTCCTTCCGAGGAGTGGCTAGTGGGTTTGAACCGCCAGCCGTCTGGTTAGCAGGCAAGTGTCTTAGCCACTATTCCCTTGGACAAACACCACTCCATTTCTCATCACTCGAATTTAGCCAGCTCATGGGTGCTGAGAGAATGTTACAGCAACAGGACAAAACAGCTAGCAGAAAGGATTACAGCAGCTCAGAGAAGCTTAGTAATCTGGGTTTGGTTGAGGGGTTTGACGCTCAGCCAGCCCCTTTTGCCCAGCTCCCCAAACAAGGGAGACAAGAGTCTGACTTCATACCTTCCAGCAAATGTCCTTTGACATTTGACTCTAAGAGTCACCATAAAGGCACAGCAAAGCTACAGGTAGCATCAGTAGGGTGCTCTGGAAAACAGGCTTAGAAAACACATCATCTTTCCCAGGTAAAGACACTCCTGTGCAAACAGTCTCTCAGGACAAAGCCAGGTAGCTCTGTGCATGTGCCCAGGGAATCAGACATTCACTGAGGAAGAAAAACCCTGCAGGGTCACCTGAGCAGTCAGATTCACCAAAACCTCTAAGAGCCTGGGCCTCCAGAACCATCCACCAAGCCAATGTGTCCCTCACTTCCTCATATGAGCCTCCTGACCCTTCAGGCGCAACCCCACCAGCTGGGACCGGTCAGTTCCAACTCACGGAGACCCCATGTGTGACAGAGTAGAACCGTGCTCCGTGGGGTTTCCAATGGCTGATTTTTCAGATGTAGATTGCCAGGTCTGTCTTCTGCGGGACTCAAACCTCCAACCTTTCAGTTAGCAGCTGAGCATGTTAATGATCTGACCACTCACGGACACCCTCAGGTGCTCCCCAGTCCTACTGATTCAGAACCTCCAGGGGAAGGCCTGGGAATCTGTATTTTAGCAAGCCTTTCTGGTAATCATTACTATCAGGTAAGTCAGGACCACTACATCCTACCCACTCTTTTCTACCTGAATCCCAGATACACTCTGAACTTCCTCACTGGCAAGTCTTTGCTTCCAGGCCCTCTTCCACCTGGAAGGTACCTTCCTCCCACTCTGGTCCTAGCTCCTCAAATCCTACCTGCCCTTCAAGACTGCACCTCAGTGCGACCCCCACCCAGCGCCTTCTCTACCACCTAGCAGGCCTTGACTGGTTGTTTACCATGTGAATTTCTCAGTCAGGTGATGTTTTCTCAGCATGGTGTGGGCAGGGTTTAGCGACAGCAGCACTGCTACCACTTGGGGCCAGTCATTTGGATTGCGGAAGCTGTGCTGTGTATTGAAGGACAAACAGCAGAATCCCTGTCTCTAACCCCTAGATGACAGCGGTGCCCCCTCCCCAGTTGTGACGACCCAAACTCTAGGCATTGTTCAGTGTCACCTGGGGGCAAAATCACTAGGGCTGGGAACCACTGGTGCAAAGATAAAGCAACCAGACTTGGGAGTCCGGCTACAAGGCTCGAATCCTGCTCATTCCCTGGTTAGAAAAGTTGTCCAATACCCCAGTTCCCATACATAAAATAGGGATGAATAATGATGGTGCCCACCTCGTTGAGTGGGTGCAGGAAGTCAATGAATTCATACTATAAATGCCTACAAGGCAAGTACTTTAACATGTGAACTATGGCTGTTGCTGTTACTTCCCTTAAAGGATAGGGGCTGGTCTTCTCTAATCTCCCAGTATCTTACATAACATCTTACCCAGGGCAGGTAAGGAGATGTGCTCCTAAAGAGAAAGAAGGAAACAAAAGACTCAAACAAACATTCTATAGGAACAACTGCCTACACAAACCATGACCTGACCTATCCAGAGACCAGAAGAACTAGATGGTGTCCAGCTATCATTACTGACTGTTCTGACCAGGGCCACAATAAATAGATGATCCTAGATAGACTGGGAGAAAATTGTAGAACAAGATTCAAATTCTTAAAAAATGGCCAGACTTACTGGACTAGCAGAGATGACAGGCACCCCCAAGACTATCACCCTGGACACCCTTTAAACTTCATGCTGAAACTACTTCTGGAGGTCACTTTTCAGCTAAATAACAGATTGGCTCATAAACCAAACAAAGAATTACCTGTATGAGACAAAACAGTCAACGTTTACCCCAAGTCAAAGATGAGAAGGTAGGGGAGGTAGGGGAGGGAAGCAAGAATAATGGAAACAGAACAACCAGAATGGAAATGATGAGAACATTGACACAATGTGGAAAATGTCACTGATGTCACTGAACATATGTATACCCACTGCCACTGAGTCAATTCCTACTCAGCAATTCCCATAGTGTTTCCAAGGTTATAAATCTTTATGGAAATAGATTGCCTCATCTTCCTCCCATGGAGCAGCTGGTGGATTTGAACCACCAACCTTCTGGTTATCAGCCAAATGCCCACTATTCCACCAGAGCTCCTTGAACAACATCTAAAGAAATTGTTAAATGGGAATCAAATTTGCTATGCAAACTTTCACCAAAAACTCAATAAAATACTTTTCAGAAAAGACTTGTGCCTTGCACAGCCTTCCTGTAGGAGGTGTGTGAGGCGAGTGGGCAGGCAGCCATGGGCATGAGGGAGAAGAGACAGAAACAGAGGTGGAAGCACATGGTCCAGGACGCCTTGGGGCTCATTACCCGTCCACAGCTGCCCAGGCTGTCTTCGTCAGACTCGTATCTCCGATTACCATTTGAGTAGCCCTGAATGGGGGGAGAAATTGGATTAGTTCAAAGAGGATGCTTTCCCAAGGAACTGGCCCAGCCTTTCCAGGTGAAGCTGGAAGCCTTGTCTGCTAAGCACCAAGGACGCTGGGTAATTGGCATGATGATGGTGCCAGTGCAGCCAAAGCCGTACTGTCCTTCGCCCCACATGAATGGGCAGAATTGACTAAAAGGCACAGGACCCCAGCAGGTCCTTCCAGGAAGGGCCACCGAAGCCACCAAGAAAAGTGTCAAGTCCTCTCTAGCCAAAACATGCTTTTTACTCACAATCACAAAGCTAAGATGAAGTCTCCAAGCAAGAGTGGCCTTGACGCACAGCTTCAACTTTGACGCATGGCCAAATATATGAATGGGGAATGCTCCGGAGAGGCCACCCTCACCACGGTACCGGTGTGAAGGTGGCTGAGGAGATCAACTGCTGGGGCACTTCCCAGGGTCTGCCGGAATTCTGTGTTTCTGAAGTGGGCACTCTCACTCAGACCACTGCCATTCTGGCCTACTACCCAGCAGCCTCAGCTTCGCAAGCAAAGGTGCCATCTTCAGTATAAGATTTGTCCAAATTGTGCCTGAACCACCATGCTTGTTCCCTTACTTGTCCACGTGGTCCTATTTATCTTTTCTGCATTTATCTTTATATGAGATGGTTTTGTTTATTAACTTACTTGTGCTCTCTCGGGACCTACTCAGACTCCTTTCTGGCTCTTTACCCCCCAGGACAATGTGATGACCCCGGTTTTGCTTCCTGGAGGTCCTTACGTGTTGTTGGGACTCTGGTTCATCCAGCTCACCCCGCTTCTCACTGGGGTATCCGCTGTCTCCACTGTTCTCAGAGTCCTGTGGAGAGAAGATGGCCTTAGGGACCCAGCGGTCCTCTGAGTACCTGGTGGAGGTGGCGATGTCTGGGAATCCCAACCACGTGCTTTCTCACCTTTATCCCATAACATGCTTAACATTCTTATCACCCAGCCTCTTCCTGGTTGGCTGACAGAAGGCAGGATAAAGTAGTGGCCAAGAGTGTGGGCTCTGGAGCCAGACTGCCTGGCTCAAATCCTGGCCCTGGTCCTTACCAGCTGTGACCTTGGGGCATTGCTTAATCTCTCTGAGCAGCAGTTAGCTATGAAAACAAGATTCATTAATGGCATCTACATCAAAGGGCTGTGAGGATGAAATGAAGTGTTAAACTGTGAGAATGTGGATTGTAGTAAGTGCTGTGAAGAGCAGCTTACCAATTTAACAGGTGGAAAAACAAAGGCTGGTTTCAGGGATATGACTCATGGACTAGAATGTAGTACTGGGATCAATATTGACTATAACTGAGCCCTCTACCTAAGAGAACAGGTCATCTGGGCATATTTTTTATTTTTCTAGATCTGAGTTCTGCTCTGAAAGGGAATCTGGTATTATATTTGTTTATTTGTACATTATATATATTAAGGGGCTCTGGTGGCATAGTGCCTAAGGCATCTGACTGCTCACCAGAAGGTTGGTGGTTCAAACCTACCAGCCACTCCAAGGAAAGAAGACGGGGCAATCTACTTCTATAAAGATTTACTACCTCAGAAACCCAAAGGGGGTCGCTGTGAGTCGGAACTGACTGGATGGCAGTGAACTTGGTTTATCACATATATTTATTCACATATTTATACATACAATGTTTGTATCATCATATGATTTTTGTTATTACTGGCTGCTGTCAAATCGATTCTGACTCAGGGCAAGTCCGGAGTGCGCCACAAGGTTTGCAAGGCTGTGACCGTTCAGAAGGAGGCCACCAGACTCATCTTCTGAAGTACATCTTGGTGGGCTTGAACTACCAACCTTTTGGCTAGTAGTGAGCACTTAACCATTTGTACTACCCAGGCTGTCTGGAATCTGGTATCACTGGAATATCCAAAACTTGTATCCCTTGCCTATCAACGTTGGCGTTTTTGCCTATCTGCATGTCACCTGCATCATTATTAACTGAAAACCTTTATTTACTTATTTTTCCCTTCTTTATTCTTCTAAGAAGTATTTCAAATGTATAAATGTTGTTGTTGTTGTTATTTGCTGTCAAGTCGGACCTGACTCATAGCGACCCTTCCTTGGGTTTCCGAGGTGGTATCACTACAGAAGTAGATTGCCCAACCTTCCTTCCAAGGAGTGGCTGGTGGGTTTGAACTGCCAGCCTTCTGGTTAGCAGTCAAGTGCCTTAGGTACTATGCTACTAGAGCTCCTAAATGTATAAATAAGAATAACAAAATCCACTGCTATCAATTCTGACTCATAGTGACCCTATAGGACAGAGCAGAACTGCCCTATAGGGTTTCCAAGGCAGTAATTCTTTACAGAAGCAGACTGGTGGGTGTGAACTGCCGACCTTTTCGTTAGTAGCTGAATGCCTTAGCCACTGCACCACCAGAGCGCCTATAAATAAGAATAAACCAAACCAAACCAAACCAAACTCATTGCCATCGAGTTGATTCGAACTCATAATGACCCCCATTGGGTTTAAGGTGGTAAATCTTTATGGAAGATTTCATTCTGTGGAGTGGCTGGTGAGTTTGAACTGCCAGCTTTCTGGTTAGAAGTCAAATGCTTTAGGCACTATGCCACCAGAGCTCCTTTATATAAATAAGAATAGAGAATACTAAAACAGCTCTTATGAATTCACAGAAGTGTTTTTATCTGGAAAAGGATAACAGAATGGGAAGAGACACATTGCCTTAGTTACTTCAGAGCTTTTATTTTAAAAGGTATTTAAACATGAATTTATAAAATCCATGGCTGTCAAGTCGATTCCGACTCAGCACCCCTAGAAGACAGAGTACAACTGCACTATGGTTTTTAAGGCTTGGCGTAGTGCCTAAGGCATCTGACTGCTAACCAGAAGGCTGGAGGTTCAAACCCACCAGCCACTCCTCAGAAGGAAGACTGTGCAATCTACTTCCAAGATACTGCCTTGGAAACCCAAACGGCAGTCGCTATGAGTTGAACTGACTTGATGGCAGTGAGTTCGGTTTGGTTTTAATCTTTACAGAAGCAGACTGCCATATCTTTCTCCCATGGAGTGGCTGGTGGGTTTGAACTGTTCACCTTCTCGTTCACAGCTGACCACTTAACTACTGTGCCACCAGAGCTCCTTTTCACTTAGTAGCTGAGTGCTTAACCATTTGCATCATCCAGGCACTCCAACATATGTGTATAATTTGACCATAATATGGGTTGATCTGATTGCAAATGCAATACCAGTTTGTCAACCTGAAGCTGCAGGAAATGTGTTCTCTTTAGTCAACTTGCAAGCAACACAGCCAACTGTGATATGTGTTACAGGCCCAGAGTCGCATAGGACCACAAGGGACACCCACCTACCATAGGAAGCTGAACTAAGCCCAAGGCTGAGGTGACATTTACCAGGCTGCACTGCTGCTGGTTTGACCTCTCTCTTGTCTAAACACCTCTGGAAACTGGAATGGCCCCAGGTCTTTCCATCTGGCCATTCCATCTAACCCTAGAGAGGAAACTCTGCTTCAGGCAGGAGGCTGAGTTCATCGTCATCCCCACCCCTGGCCCTCCTGGCCTTGCTCGGAGCAGAACGAGGTCCCCACCTCTGGCTCTGAAGATTCACCCTCGGTTCCCACTGGGAGTGAGTCCGCCCTGCCTGCCCCAGCTGGGGCCCACAGCCTCCCTCCCTCTCTCCACTCACCCGCTGGTTGTCCAGATGGTCATGGTCTCTGTGTGACATGTTATCAAGGTCGCTGAACACTGGCCAATCTGGGCGGGAAAAACAGAGATAATGCGCTGGTCCCACTGCGGAAACTGTTTACAAGATCAGCCTAGGCTGCCCCTACCTGCCATCAAGGCTTTGTTCTCTTTAATTGTGGTAAATATGTATGCATCACAACACTTTCCATTTCACTATTTTCATATGTATAATTCAGTGGCATTAATAGCATTCGTCATGTTCAACCATCACCACTATCCATTTCCACTTTTTTTCCATCACCCTTAAAAGAAGTTCAGTGCCCCAAAGCAATGATTCTTCCTTACCCCTCCCTTCACCCATCCCTGGTACCTTCTAATAAACTCTGGCCTCTGCACACTTTATACACGCTCTATACAAGTATGGATATACCACAGTTTGTTTACTCATACGTCTAGTGATCACCGAGCCTTTTACTCTTTTTAATTTTTTTTTTATTAGGATTTGGGTGAAGGTTTACAGAGTAAATTCACTTTTCATACAGCAGTTCACATATATTTTGTCTCATGTCATTGACCAAAATTTACAATGCAGCAGCTCCCCTCCCACTTCCTCCCCATAGTTACCTCCTCCCAGTGTCCATCCCTCCATACTCTTCTGCACCCTGAGCTATCTCCCTGTGCATAAGCAGCCCTTCCTTCTCCCATGATTGTTCTCTCCAGGGCGTGTGTCTACTTGAGGTAAATGTTTAACTCACATGCTTGTACTTTGTTTGGCTGGAAACCACAGTTGTGGGCTCTTTTTTAATTTTTAAAACCAAACCAAACTCACTGCTGTCTAGTCGGATCCAACTCACAGGGATCCCTCCTTGGATTTCCAAGATAGTATCACTATGGAAGTAGAGTGCCCAACTTTCCTTCTGAGGAGTGGCTGGTGGGTTTGAACCACCAGCCTTCTGGTTAGCAGCCAAACGCCTTAGGCACTATGCTACCAAAGCTCCTAATTTTTAAAGAGGGAGCAAAAGAAAAAGGAAAAGAATGTTATCAGCACCTGAGGGGAGCCACACTTCTTCCTCGAGAACTTATTTAATACAATTACTGGTCTCTACTCATAGGGAACAAAAGAGAATGAAGGAAACCAAAGTATCAAAGAAGGAACCAGTGCACAGGACGGATGGCCCATGTGAACTATGGCCTCTTCTGAGACCATTAGAACTAGATGGTGCCCAGCTACCACTACTGACCGTTCTGACCTGGGATATAATAGAAGGTCCAGATAGAGTAGGAGAAAACTGTGGAACAAAATTCAAATTCCTACAAAAAAAAGGCCAGACATACTGGACTGATAAAAACTAAGTAAACCCCCGAGACTATGCCCCTAAGACACCTCTTGAACTTGAAACTGAAGCTGCTCCTGGAGGTCACCTTTCAGCCAAACAACAGACTGGCTCATAAAATAAACAGTATCACCTGAGAGTAATGTGCTCCCTTTGACCATCAACTCTGTAAGATCAACTGGTCAACATTTACCAGAAAACAAAGATGAGATGGGCAAGGCGGAGAAGGGAAGCTAGATCAATGGAAACAGAATGGAAATAATGAGAATACTGACGCACAGTGAAAATTGTGACCAGTGACATGGAACAATGTGTATAAAAAAATGTTAAATGGGAACCTAATTTTAGATGTAAACTTTCACTTAAAACACAATAAAATATTACTAAAAAAAAGAACTTATTCTAAAGCAGACAGTGGTGATGGATGAACATTTAAAGTGAGGTCCAGATGTAGGTTTTTTTTTTTTTTTTTTTTGGTGTTTTGTCAAATTTGGTATCAGTTTGGTTTTGCTAGTTTCATAAAATACACTAAAACAGGTTACTTTGTTTTCTGTAATAGGAACTGTTTTGTAGCATTTGGAAGGCCTGTTTCTTGAAAGTTTACTAAAATAGCTCACCTGTGAAACCAACTGGGCCATGAATCTTTTGAAATAGCATGCCTGATTTTCTAACATAAAGAGCTTTTGTAGCTCTGCTCTACCTGCAGTCTCCCTCTTCCAACCACAATGACCTGGGACCAAACCCTCACTCACGGAGCGGGTCCAGTTTCTGGCTGTGTGGTGTGGCTGAAGATGGTGAGGAAGGCAGGGAGTCAAAGGTCATGTCACTCGTGTTCTCATCGGAGTTCTCTGAAAGGCGAAGGAGCAACGGGGGCCGGCTCCCAGAGAAGGTCCTTACTCGAGGACTCCCACATTTTTCCTCTGTCCCCCTCAAGATGGTCTTGGCTGATTGCTGGGGACATTAACAAGGACACTCATGTCACACAAGCATGCTATGGGGATAAAGGGCTCTCCCTGTTGGTCCCTCTATAGCCATGAGGCCCTTTCAGCCACACCCCTATCTATGCCCATTTAGGGGCTGACATAAAGTCTGAAAACAGTCAGTGGGAGCGAACTCTAATGTCTCCAAGAAGAGGCATCTGGAACAAGAGCTCAAAGCTCTGCCAGGTGGCATTCCCCAAACTGCTGACCACACTCGACAGCCCTGAGCTGGGATTCCCACTACACATCCAGAACCTTAGCTGGACTTCTCCAACATACTCTTTTATCAGGTCCATGTAGGGGGGAGGGGATGGGGTGAAGTGGGGAGTGCACATCCTGAACACAGTGAGGTGCCCAGAGAGCCACATCTCATCCAACTACGTGACAACACATACACCTTCTCTCTTCACCTCCAGACATCTGTTCCCCTCAAAAACTGGCCCTCCTCAAGTAGATACCAGTTACTCTGTTAGAGACACTGAGAAGGGCTTTGTGAGTAACTAAGGTGGAGGGAGGAAAGGGCACAGGTGGGAAGAGATCCTCTCAGACGCGATATTCTCCAACAAGCAGGACGTGGTTTGTCATCACACAGTAACAGTGGACAGGCTGGCTCTGGTAGCAGTGAGGCCCACCAGTCTGGCTGAGAAAAAGTGGTCCAAGCAGGTTCACACAAGGCACTCACCAGCAGTTTGGTGTTCTGATTCACGGTGTCCCTCTCCTTCGGTGAGAGGTCAAAGGGTACGAGGCCCATGCTCCTGCAGATCCTGTTGCAGGCATGCGAGTAGAAGAAAAGAGCCATGCCCCGGACACCTGTGGACAGGGCAGGCGGGGTCTGGGCTGTCTCTTTGTTTTGAGAGAGGGGAGGGGGTGGTACTTAGCATAAACATGGCAGGGGTAGGTCTAACGAGGACGGAACTTCAGGGGTCAGAGTGCCCAGGTTCCCATCTTGATGACCTTGGTACATCTTGTCAGCCTATTCCCTGGGTGCACAAAGGGATCTGAGATTTCAGCAGGGAGGGCAGTTTCCATGGAGCTCCGGAACAGTGCCAACAGTTAAATGCTTGACTTCTAAGACCTGGCAGTCTGCTTCCAACAGGTCACAGCCTTGAAACCCTATGGAGCAGTCCCACTCTGCACACATGGGGTCACCCTGAGTCAGAATCAACTCAACAGCACTAGCAACAACAGTCTCCATGGAAACAACAAGCTGGCCTCGCCACCTACCGAGGTTGCCGTCTCCAAAGTCAGTGCCTGTCTCGGTGTGGATCTGCGGGTCGGTATAGAGGTCACCCACACCTTGGATGTCCACCACAATCAGCTGATGGCCAGAACGCTCAAATGTGAAGTGGCTGAAGGCCTGTGAGGTGCCAGAAGAAAAACGTGGTTGCAAGAGACCAGGCTGTGGGCTGTGTGGACCCTGGTTAGCCACTGTCTGAGGAGTTACAACATTCCAGCTCTGCCAGGGTGATGTCTTGTTCCTCTGCAAGGAGGAGTTTATAGAAGAAAAGACACACAAAGGAACTGTGTTTAATTCAGAAGAGACCCTGGTCCTGTGGCCACCTTAGGTCAGCAGACAAAAGCTGGCATGGGGTGACAGTGTCCTGTTACAGAATCTCCTTCAAAATAATCCAAGGGGCTTAGGTGCCTCTAAGGCTGACCCTGGGGGTGCAAGACCTCTTGTGCCTCTGGGGAAGCTCCTCTCTGGGGGTGGAGTCCTGAAGGGGTAGAGGTGTGGGCAGAGCACGCCCTGGCCCTCAGGCCCTCACCTGTGGTGTCAGGCGGATGTTGTCGTCGCGGACAAAGCCTGAGTTGGAGTTGTACTTGATGTAATTACCCTCGATGTAGTGCTCCAGGTGGAAGAGGGGTGCACCCAGTCTCTCCTTCAGCTCTATGATGCACACCTGCATGATGTCCACCTGGTGGGGTTGTGGGGGGAGAGGGGTGTGAGGTGAAGGGGCAGGGGTCAGGCAGCACCCTCTTCGGATGAGAGAGGGCAGAGGAGGTGAGTTGAACTGAGCCAACCTGCCTGGGCTCAGATCCTGGCTCCGTCACTGCCTAGCTCTCTATGCCAATCCAACCAAAACCAAACCCACAGCACTGAGTCAATTCCAACTCATAGCAACCCTATGGGACAGAGAAGAACTGCCCCCATGGGGTTTCCAAGGCTGTCATCTTTACAGAAGCAGACTGCCTCATTTTTCTCCCATGTAGCAGCTGGAAGGTTCAAAGCACCAACCTTCCGGTTAGCAGCTGAACGGCTTAACCACTGTGCCACCAGCGCTCTCTATGCCAGAAATGACTATTTGTCCCCCAGGATCCATTCTCCCCTTTCCCTCTTAGAATGAAACCCTCTATCCCTGACACTTTTAACATGATGCAAGGCCATCCAGCAAGGGGTAATACTGTTCAGTTTCCTTTGCAGCTAGGTGTGGCCATGTGACCAATTCTGGCCAGTGGGAAGTGAGCAGCAGTGACAGTACAATTCACGATGGCCTTCCTTCTCTTGTCCCCTCCCCAAGGCTGTAAGGTGGGCATCTGCCGAGGAGCCAGAATAGACCCTGTGTGCAAGGCCACCCACACGGGATGGCAGAGCAGCAAGCAAGAAAGAATCAGATGACTTCAACGGAAAGCACGCGTCCACCCTGGGCCACCCAACAACGCAGAACTGTTACATGAGAAATGAGACATTTTGTGTGAGCACATGTGCCTTACACTAGCACTGTGAGTTTGGGCAAGTTACTTCACCTCTCCGTGCCTCGGTTTCCTCACCTGTGGAATGGGGATCTCAGACTGAGTACAATTAAATTCGTTGATGCATGCAAATGTACAGAAGTGAATCAGGGTTTGCTGATGTTATCGTAGTAAATAACCTTAGAGTAATATATACACCAAATTGAAAACAGTGGCAACAGGGAGTTATGGAAAACTTTGGCATTTGTTGGAGTCCCTGGGTTGTGCAAACAGTTAACATGTTTAGCTGCTACCTGAAAGGCTGGAGGTTTGAGTCCATCCAGAGGCACCGCAGAAGAAAGACTTGGTGATCTACTTCCAAAAAACCAGCCACTGCACAGCCAGCTACCAGAGGGAGCAAGCAGTTGAACCCATGGGCTCAGGACCATGGTCGCAGGGGACATACAGCTCAACTGGCATAACACACTATACAAAACACTGTTCCACCTCCTACTCTGGCCAGAAGCGACTGGAATCTTAAATGCTTGCAAGTGGCCATCTAGATGCAACGATGGGTCTCTCCTCGTCCAGGGCAAAAAAGAATGAAGAAAACCAAAGATTCATGGAAACAATTAGTCCAAGGGACTGGTACACCGTGTGATTTTCACCCTATATGACTATGAGATCAGAAGAACTAGATGGCGCCCAGCTACCACTGTCAACCATTCGGAGGGAGATCTAGGCAGGAAATCCTGGATAGAGAGGGAGAACAATGTGGAACAAAACTCAAAATCATTAAAAAAAGAGGGACCAGGCTTGTTGGTCTGATAGAGCCTGATGAACCCCTGAGACTATGCCTCCTAGCTGCCCTTTAGGTCTGGAATTGAACCCACTCCTGTGGTTTCCAGCCAAATAAAAGACAGGTATATGAGTTGAACATTTACACTAGGCACGCACGCTCCCTGAAGAGATCAATCATGGGCGAACAGAAGGGCTGTATACGCACAGGGACATAGCTAGCTGGGCATGAGTACATAGGAGGGAAGGACACAGGGCAGAGATAACTATGAGGAGGGAGCAGGAGGAGAGCTATTGCACTGTGGGAAATTATAGTCAATGTCACGAGACAAGTGAACGTGAGCTGCTATATGGAAAGTGAATTTGCTCTTAAACTTTCACCCACATAACACATTAAAAAAAAAAAAAATCAGCCACTGAAAACCCTATGGAGCACATGTTCATTCTGACACACAGGAGGTCGCCATGAGTCACAACAGACTTGATGCAAGTGGTTAACTGGCTGATGTTCCTTACTGGATTTTTGTTTTTAAAGAGATAGAAGCTAACTCTGTGTACAGAACAAAATGAATACTGTGTATGGTTTATTAAGCTCTGGACTACTAACCAAAAGGTTGGCAGGTCAAACCCACCCAGTGGTGCCTCAGAAGTAACGGTCTGCTTCCCAAAGATCACAGCCTTGAAAACCCGTGGAGCAGTTCTCCTCTGCACACGCGGCATCGCCACAGACTGCATCGACTCAAAAGCAACCAATAACATGGTCTGTAAATAGGGAAGACCTGTGATTCTTTGTTGGTTTTGTGGCCCCTGCCCTTTTGCACAGGGAGTTGTCCATCACACCACATCTCCTTCAATGCCACCCTTGGGAAATACAGACCTGGGAGGTACCCTGTGTTTCCCGAGGAAATGACAACCCTGGAACTGCTCAGCTAAGTCACCAGAGGGATTCAGAGGACAGCGGCAGAGGCTGGGTCAGTCCACAGCTGAGGACTGAGTACTTCCTCAGACATGGCCTCAGTTCCAAGAACCAGCCTGAGGGGAAGGAACAGCCAGTTCTCAGAGGGTCCCCACCCCAAATGCTGGCTCCATCCCTACAAGGAAGCAGCAGGGCAACCTTCTTGGCCTGAGGGCTCACTAGGTGAGGGGCAGGAGTACAGTCATGAGTGAACAGCCAGTACCTCAGCAAAGCAGCCCATCCTCCCCATTCATTAACTCATGCTCAATATTATTTACTGAGGGAGCTCTGGTAGCATAGTGCCTAAGGCACTTGACTGCTAACCAGAAGGCTGGCGGAGCAAACCCACCAACCACTCCTCGGAAGGAAGGTTAGGCAATCTACTTCTGTAGTGATACTGCCTTGGCACCCCAAGGAGGGGCCACTATGAGTCAGGTCCAACTTGAGGACACATAACAACAACAACAACAACATTATTTACTGAACATGAACGAACCAAACCAAAAATCTAAACAATGAACTAAAGGATAAGGCTCTCCCAGATAGCTAGGTGTTTTGAAGAAAATGAAACAGAACAAACCAGGATGATGTGGCAGAGGGTGACTGGATGGAAAAAGCTATTTCATTTAGTGTGGTCTGGGATGGGCTCTCGGAGGAGGTGACAGACGCGCGGAGACCTGAACTATGAGAGGAGCCAGTCATTTAACCGCGTGGGACACAGACAGGGCAAAGGTCCTAAGACAGGAACAAGCTTAGGGGAGAAAGAAAGAAGGCCGAGCTGAAGTGTAGTGAATTACTACGCAGGTCACAGCCTCCAAGGGTGGAGACTATGGCTTCTGTGTCCAGCCTGAATGTGCATCATCGAGGACCCTGCAAATAGCAGGCACTCAATAATGCTCCTGCTGCATGCAGGAGACAATGTCTTGTTATCTAGTAAGTGCTCCAACAGCCGAAGAACTGAACTGTGAATTTAGGCAGAGGCCCACAGCAATGTTTCCTAAGATGCCCACAGGCAACAGGAAATTCTTCTTGGCTGGTTCATTACTCACCCAGGGGCCAGCCTGCCAGGGGGTCAGAAGGTCTGGATTTGAGCCCTGGCTCCAGTCCTGCCTGGTTGGGCAAGCCACTTAACCCGAGTCCCATGTTCCTTACAGAACATATTGTTTCTATCCATCTAATACCTACTTCCTCCCTTCTTCTGCTTTTTTTTTGGGGTGGGGTGGGGAAAGGGGACACCCCTTCCTCAATCTCAGGCTAGGAAGTCTGGTGGAATGACTTATACTCCTAGTTCTAAGGGTGGGCTTGGTTCAGGCTTGCCTAATCTGCATATCCCCTCCTCCTGGCCACAGTGATTGGCTGAGCAATAGGTATCTAACCTAATAAGAGCCAAGGAAACCCAGTTCTGAGATTTTTATTAGAACTTGTGGGAAAATAGATCCTGTCATTCCAACAAGGTTGCTGAGAGGGCACACAGTGAACCTGCAGCTTCTGACAGTTGACATACCAGTGCAAGGCCAGAGGCTACCTGACAGTGATAACAACACAGAAGACAGTGGAGGCTAGAAATAAAGGAAGATTCCTAACAACCTCAGTTTGGCCCTGAATCCAACCATGCCTGTGGCCAGAGCTATTTTTCACTTACATGTGGCAATAAGTTCCCTTTTTTGAGTAAGCCAGATTGAGTGGGTTTCTGTCATTTACAGACAAAAGAATCCTGACCAACAGACCCCATCTGTAAATGGGGATTAAAAACATTCCAACCTCAGAGCGCTGTTTTAAGGAATAAATGACTCTCTGCAGATACTTGGCTCAAAGTGCTCAATTCCCAGAAATCCGGTTACCGTTGCGTCAACTGCAACTCATGGCAGAAACCCCTCTCCATAGGGGTTTCAATGACTGATTTTGGGAAGCAGATCACCTAGCTTCTCTTCTGAGGTACCTCTGGGCGGACCTGGACCCCTAACGTCTGGTCAGCAGCCAGCATGTTAACTGTCTGGACCACTCAGAGACTTCCAGTGTCCAATAAATGGCTGTTAAAAGCTACGGCGAAGATAGGAATCTGCAGTGGATAACCCACCGCCCATCTACGGACACTGTCCGTGGATGTGCATGCCTTTACAAAGGCAGTGGGTGAGGGTGCCACATACCTGCTTGGGGGGCTTGTGTCGGTTATACTCCTCCCCCCAGAGTTTGGCTTCCATCTGTAGACGCACATCCTCAAAGTACACGTCCCTGTCCACAGGCTCGATGTAGCGCTTTGCCACGTAATTCGAGGCCCCTTTCCACTGCTGGGTGTGCAGGAAGTTGGACAGCTTTTTCCTGTGGGGAGAGGCAGCAGGGGGCCATCTGGGGCCTCCAGGTTCACTGGGACACAGCCCTGGGAAGAACCACTGCTTGAGTCCGCAGGACAGCACAACGCTACCTGACCTGCCTGGATGTCACACCTGGCTGGATAGAGCCAGTAACGTTGGAGGGCTCCGGGGAAGGCAGAAGGGCCTTCCCAACCCCTGCTGCATCCTCGAAGAGGTGCCAAGGCCTCATATCCCACTTCCCTTGGCCTCAATACACCAAAGATGAGTGGGATGCTCCCTGTTCTCCCAAAGCCCATCATCGCCACAGCCACTCCCTGCACGTGGCCCAACGGAGACCAGATGAAGAAGAGCTTGGCTTACAAGAAGGCAAAGACCACTGTCTCTAATCTTTGGCCAAAAATGTCTCAATGCCCCAGGTTTTGGGATTCTGAGGGGTGTCTGGGCAGGGCCCCGAGAGCCAGGTGGAGTCACTTACGTCCTAAAGCACTCCCTCATCGCTCCACGACCGAAGGGCTGAAAGACACCACACAGAGGGTTATCAGTTCCCACACCCCACCCAGAAAAACCCTGAGCTAGAAGATTTTCCTCGTGGACATCACCTACCGAATGGGTGCCTTGGACCTCATGTCAATCCAAAAATTCCTGGGGCCTTCCTCCTGTCAACCTCAACCCAACCCCAAAGCCTGACAGACCTTCTGGCCCAGAGGCTGCTGGGAGGATGAAGCCCACCTCCATTTCCCTCATCCTGACTGAGTGGAAGAAACCCTTGGGAGCCAGGATGCTTTGGGGAAAGAGAGGAGCAGTGCAAGTCAGAGGCTATTTTACCAAAAGAGGTGGAAGCAATCTAAATGTCCACCACAGTACAATGCACAAATCATTAGATGGATAAACCATTAAGTCTATTCATTCAATGGAGCAATGAGAATGAACAAATTACCGCTACAGGAAAAACAAGAAAGAACTTCACGTACAAAATGTTGAGCCAAACAAGCCATACTGAAAAGGATACACACTGTCTGGTTCTACTTACATGAAGTATAAAACCAGGCAAAACTCATCTAGGGAGCTAAAAGTTAGCATGGTGTTTACCCTTGGGAGTAGGGGTTGACCAGGGCTGAGATGGGCTTTGGGAGCAGGGGATGGTTACATTCTGTTTCTTGATCTGGATGCTGGTTACACGGGTGTGTTCACTTGTGAAAACTTACTGAGCTTATACTTATGATATATGCACATTTTTGTGTTATGTTACATTTCAATAAAAAACACACTTAACATGAGATTGGAGGAGCTCATCAAATTGGTTAAAAAAAATAATGTCACTCATAAGTACCATGCTCCTTTGAAAATCACCCATATAGATCAAACAGTCAGAAATTACTTTAAAACAAAGATGAAAATGTAAGAGGGCAGGAAACTAGATTAATGGAAATGAAACAACTAGAATGGAAATAATGAGAAAGTTCAAATTGTGAGGAACATAACCAATGTTACTGGACAATTTGTACAAAAATTGTCAAATGGGAACCTGAATTGTTATGTAAACCTTCACAGAAAATACAGTATTATCTTTTAAAAAATGTACTAAACAGATTGTGGTCTAGCCATTCAATGGGATGTTATTCAGATATAAAGAAAAATTAAGTTCTGATACATGCTACCACACAGATGAACCTCGAAAATACTATGCTGAATGAAATCAGTTACTCATAAAAAGGCAAATATTGTATGATACCACTGACATGAATTATTTAGAATAAGTAAATGCATTAAGACCAAAGTTTGTTAGTGGTGATCAGGGCTGTTGGGAGGAAGGAATGGAATCATTGCTCAAGGGGCACTGAGCTGGCTTCAGGTGATGAAACACTTTTGGCAATGGATAGTGGTGATGGTAGCAAAATATGGTGAATGTAACAAATAGCACTAAATTGTGCATTTAAAAATGATTTAAAATGGCAAACTTTTGTTATATATATTTTGTTGTTAGGTGTCACTGAGACAGTTCTGTAACGACCCTATGCATGACAGAGCAGAGTCCTGCCCAACCCTGCACCACCCTCACAATTGCTGCTAAGCTTGAGCCACTATCGTAGGCACTGAGTCAGTTCATGTCAGTGAGGGTCTTCCTCTTTTTCACTGACACTCTGTTTTACCAAGCTTGATGTCCTTCTGCAGGTCTTGGTCCCTTCTGATAACATGACCAAAGACAGATCAAGTTTCACCATCCTTGGTACCAAGTGGCACTCTGGCTATACTTCTTCCAAGACAGGATTGTTCCTTGTTTTAGCAGTCCATGATATAGTCAATATTCTCCACCAACACCATATTTCAAATCAATTCTTCTTTGATCTTATTCATTGTCTACCATTCACATGGGTATGAGGTAACTGAAAATACTATGGTTTGGATCAGGCACAGCTTAGTTTTCAAAGTGACATCTTTGCTCTTTAACACTTTAAAAAGGTCTTTTGTAGAAGATTTGCCCAGTGCAACACTTTGTTTGATTTCTTGACTGCTGCTTCCACAGGCATTGATTGTGGATCCAATTAAAATAAAATCCTTGATAACTTTAAACTTTTCTCCATTTATCATGATTTTGCTTATTGGTCCAGTTGTGAGGATTTCTGTTTCCTTTATGTTGAGGAAAGAGCTCTGGTGGCAAAGTGCCTAAGGCATTTGACTGCTAACCAGAAGGTTGGTGGTTCAAACCCACCAGCCACTCCACAGAAGGAAGACTGGGCAATCTACTTCCATAAAGATTTACCACCTTTGAAACCTAATGGGGGTTGCTATGAGTCGGAATCGACTCAATGGCAGTGAGTTTTGTTTTGTTTTGTTTTTTGTTTTATGTTGAGGTGTAATCCATACTGAAGGCTGTAGTCTCTGATCTTCATCAGTAAGTGCTTCAAGTCATCCTTACTTTGAGCAAGTAGAGTCATCTGCATATCATCTGCATATCACAGGCTGTTAATGAGTTTTGCCCCAACCCTGATGCTATGTTCTTCTTCATTGAGTCCACTTTCTCAGATTATTTGTTCAGCATACCGATTCAATAAGCACGGTGAAAGGATACAACTCTGACTCACACCTTTCCTGATTTTAAACCATGCAGAATTCCCTTGTTCTATCTGAAGGACTGCCTCTTGTTCTATGTACAAGCTTCTCATGAGCACAATTAAGTGTTCTGGAATTCCCATTCTTCTCGATGTTATCCATAATTTGGTAAGATCACACAGTCGAATGCCTTTGTGTAGTCAATAAAACACATGTAAACATCTTTCTGTTATTCTCTGCCTTTAGCCAAGATCCATGTGACATTAGCAATATCTCTCATTCCATGGCTTGAATCTCTTAATAGTTCTCTATGTGCTGCTACAACCATTTTTTAATTATTTTCAGCAAAAGTTTACTTGTGTGTGACACTAATGATATTGTTCAACAATTTCCACATTCTGTTGGATCACCTTTCTTTGGAATGGGTACAAATACAGATCTCTTCCAGTTGGCTGGCCAGGGATTTTACCACAATAAAATTTTTTCAAAATGTACTTTAAAAAAAGTTCATCCTAACCTTTATTGTGTGGGAAATGCTGTATTTTCTAGTCTATTTAATTAGTCTTTTTAAAATGGTTGCAACCCATTGAATTCATTTCACAGAACAATAATCGGTGGTGAATTGCAATTTCCCAAATAATGATATAAAGGACTCCCAAAGTTAAAAAAAAAAAAAAAAATACAATAAAGCAGGTATTGGGGAGAAGAGCATGGACTGAAGTCGGCTCGAGAAAGCCCCTCTCTCAGCCCGATCCCTGCGGAACTCAGGGCCCTGCTCACCTGAGATGCCATCTTGATCAGAACTTCATCCTGCAGCCACTCCCCTGTGACAGCGTTGTACCTACGGAGACCAGAACCACCCAAGAGTACATGATCCATAACGTGATCCCAGCACACAGAGCCCAGCACCACCCCAGAGGGTACCGTCCATAACATGATGCCAGCACTCACTGTCTAAAAGTGAAAAGAGTATGAAGGGATGGACACTGGGAGGAGGTAACTATGGGGAGGAAGTGGGAGGGGAGCTGCTGCATTGTAAATTTTGGTCAATGACATGAGACAAAG